ATTCCTTGAAAAAGCAAATGACCCAATGGAGAAATGGACAGACATATCTTTAATGACAAGCAAAATGCAAATCAAAACAACTTTGAAATTCCATCTTATTTGGTAATTGTTACCAAGAAGCACACACACACCAAAAAAATGAATGCTGGGGGCAGGGAGATAGCTCAGTAGAATAAACTTGCCTAGCAAGCTCAAGGTCCCAAGTTCAATCCTCAGTACACCACACACACACACACACACACACACACACACAAATGCTAGTGGGATGGGTGTAAAAATCCTGCTACATTAGCGGGAATATAACAGAGAACAAACACTATGAAAATCAGTACGGAGTCCCTCAGAAAACCTTAACTAAAGCTTCCATTTGACCTTGCTATACTTCTCTTGGGTATATTTCTGAAAGAATTAAAGACATCATATCATAATGATACAAGCATACCAATCTTTATAGTGGCACAATTCAAAATAAACTCTGAAAAAGGCCTAGATCCATATCAAAAGATGAATGGATAAAAAATGTATTTACACACAATGGAATATTACTTAGCCATAAAAAATGTCATTTGCAGAAAATGAACAGAATCCAAGACCATTATATCATGTTAAGTGAAATACGCCAGATCCAAAAAGTGTTTCCTCTTTATGAAACATCTAAAATATAAACAAACAGAAAGAAGATATAACAGGAAACTAGAGGGTAGTGTTGGGGAAGATGATAGGTCAGAAAAAAAGGAGGGTAGGGTAAAAGGACTGAAATGGTATATGTATGTAATATACCAATTCCTTAAAATGAACATCAATGATATTCTGTATAAGAAATTAACTTAGAAAAAACTTGATGTTTCTCTTAACATTTTATTCTGAAAATTATTTTGAAGTAGTTTGAAAATGCAGCAGAAAAAAACATGTTCACTGTAATGGCAGACAAAAACATTAAATGAACAATTGGGTTGGCATGATAGCTCGGTGGACTAAGTGCCTGCTTAGGCACATGCAGGGACCAGGGTCCGATTCCTGCACCAGGCATGTAAACTCCAGCGCTGGAAAGGCTGAAACAGGAGGATCACTACGAGTCTCAGCTGCTCGGTGAGACCATGTACCAAATACATAAATAAATAAATGCAAAGCAATTAATAAAACGAGAGCTTAGCTTTCTTTTTTACGCTAGTAGCACTGGTGTAAACGGCAGCACTCACTCCCTGTACCTAACATCGGCTAGGCAGGCTAAGAGCACATGGGCCACTGAAACAATAATTGTTTGCCTTCCAGAATAGCCATCCTCAGGGAATGAACATCCGATTTTGCCTGTAAGTATGTTAATGAGAAAGGCCGAATAAAATCACTCACAATATAAATGTTTTCCTTCTTAATTTAGCCAAAACTTCACCAAAATAACCTAAGGGTGACTCTTGGTCCCAGAATGAGTCCAAAAAATAATTTATAGTCCTTTTGAGACAGGGTCTCACTATGTAGTTCGGGCTGGCCTCAAATTCGCTGTTATCCTCCTACCTCAACCTCCCGACGGCAGGGATTACAGGTGTGCGCCACCTGGCTGGCTCAACATTTTTTTAAAAAAACTTAAAAAGATACCAGGATGCAATACCGACTCCTCAACACCAGAGGGAAGAATTAAAGATCAAGAAGTTTCTGTGCAATTCCACTGAGCTCGAATAAAGTGAAGAAATCAACTTTAAAGAACACTACAGGAGTCCTAAAGTGAAGATAAAGCCAAATGGCTTACTTCAAATTACAGGCACCCGGAGCGTGCTGGGAGAGTGAGCACGCCAAGGTCGCTCCCAAAAGCTGAGGGGAAGGGCAAACGTCGCCTTGACGCCACCTCCAGATTCCTATTCCCTCCAAGACCTGCCTGGTGCGGTGCTTCCGCGCGGGAGCTCTGCACCCGGGCGCCTGACGTCATCCAGGACACGACACATCGCGAGTGGACCCCTGGGCCGAGGCTGGTCCGGAATTTGGGGAAAGCCTCCAGGTCCGCCATTAGAACTTGCCCAATCTTACTAAAACTGTAAGCGCCAGAGAGAAGCAGAGCAGAGGAATGCACCCAGCGGGGCGCAGGCGGCAGCCCCTGCCCCGGAAAACTTGGGGGCTCTAGTTCGGGCCGACGAAGTAGATGCGCGGCTACGAGAGCGGGCAGCCCGCTGGAGCACCTCCCCGGTCCCCCGCGGGAGAGAAAGGAAAACACCCGCGACCTCCCGCCGCCCCGCGACCCTGGCTTCGGCCCCGGCCACGGCGTCCGCCTCACCCGGCGCTCCCGGCCGCGCCCGCGCTCCCGCAGCCCTCGGGCCGCACGCCAGGGCGCCCAGGACATGAGCGCGGCCCCGAGCAGCCCGAGGCCCCGACGCGCAGCAGCCACGGCGTCCGCGCCGCGGGGTGCTAAGCCCGGGTCGGGGGGAGGCTCCGCAGGCCGCCCTCACCCATCTCTGCCTCCGCCTCCTCCGGAGGCTGCGCCGCTCCCAGCCACCCCCACTCTCGGCAGCCCTGGACTGGAAAGGCATTGGGGATAAGCCTCACCCGGTTCTGGCTGCGGCTCCGCGGAACGAACCTCCCCTCCCCCGGCCCACCCCCCTTCGGAGACACGCACAACTCCGCTCGGTCCAGTCCCGGCTTTAGCGCTGGTGATGAGGAGGAGGCGGAGGCGGTGGCGCGGCCGAGTCTGCACAGGCCCCGCCCGCCGCGCACTCACTGGCTGCTGGCGGAGGCGGGCCAGGGCATCTGGGGCGAGGCCATTGGCTACCTTGGCCTTCCTTCAGGAGCCCCCTCGGTGGGGTGGTCCGAACGCCTGTTCGTCACGCGCCGGCCACACCCTCGATCCTCCGCCGGCCTTCGGCTCCCACCTTTTCCTTTCCCGCCCCTCAGGGTGCCCACCCCGCCCCCGCTGCACTCCCTCTCCAAAAAAAAAAAAAAAAAAACAGCCTTAGTCCGCCGGGGTTGGAAGCCTGAGTAGTGTCGCCCTCCACACTGGTCGAAGCTCGGCCCCTGGGCGTGGCACGAGCCGCTGATGTAGGGCCAGCAGCTGCCGCCGGGCTTCCACGGACACGACTGGAGAAGAGCTGCGGGCTGTGTCTTGCGTTCTTCCTGTCCAGTCCAGGCGACGGAGAGAAGGGCTAAGCCGAGACGAGGCCGAACCAACTCCGGGGCTGCGGGGAACGGCACTCCGGGGTGGCCGAGGGCCGTAGGGCCCGTCCACGCGGCCTCGGCCCGGAAAACAGTTCCCACACCCGTCATGCTGCGGCGAGAGGAGAGGACGTCCTCCATATCTTGTCAGAGCTGCGGGGAGCACGGGCCCGTTCACAGCCGGCCCGGGATCGAGGGCCCTATCCCGAGCGGCTAGGGCCGGGCCTCGCCATTCGCCCGAGGAGCCGCGCTGTGGGCATCGCGTCCGGGCCGGGACCCCGACGCCTTTATGCCTTAGGCCAAGATGGAGAAGCCACCGAGGAGCGGTATGCTGCCAGCAGCGGGGCCCGCACCCACGGCCCTCTGGTCCTCGTCGGGAGCTGGAGGAACCGCGCCGCTGCCTCCCTGCTGCTCGCTCCCGCCCTACTCTTTCCGTGGCTACCCAGAGGAACAGACTGCTGCTCGCGTCTCGCCCTGGTGGTTGTTAATAGGATTACAGGACAGCAGATCAGGGTTTGGAAACAAGGGTTGGTGAAGTACCGACTTGGAATATAAGATTTGAAAATACAGATAATGTGCTTTAGAAAAAAAAAAAATCCTGCTAAATTCAAGGTCAGCCTGGGGAACTTAGGGAGACTCTTTCACAATGATAAAGTTGGGGTATTGCTTAGCGATAGAGTGCTTTCCTGGCCTACACGAGGCTGTCCGATCCCCAGTGATTCACCTCTCTCCAGGAGAGTGGGTAGGTAAGTAAGGACTTAATGGGTTAATCTTAAAAGCTACTGGTGGGTAGTAGACCTTATCTAATTGCAAAGCTGAATGTGTAGCGGCTTAAAAAAATAAAGTGTAAGACAGTTTAATTCATTTCATATACCAGAATTCAGATTGTTTTTGTTGGACAGCTCTGATTTAAGTAAAATTGACTTGTAGGTTTTTTTTCTTTGTATCGGTACTCGAACTCCGGACCTTGCACTTGACAGGCAGGTACTATTCACCTGAGCATCCCTGGGATAGTTATTCCAGTTATACACCACTGCAGTTTTCATTTTCTAAATCTGATTTTATTTGATGATTGATGCTAAATAAAGATAGGGCATGTTATCACAACATCTAATGATAATTGGTTTTATATTTGGATTTATGTAACTATGTAAATAGGTTTAGATACTGGGTAAATCCTTTCACTATCTCAGAACAACACCCGGTACCGCCAAAAACAAACAAACAAAAAAAACTGAACAACACTCTTGTATTACAGATTGGGTTCATTAGCTTATTTGTTTGTTTGTATGTTTTGTTTTTTTTTGTTTGGGTTTTTTTTTTTTTTTTTTTTTTTTGTGGAACCGGGGGTTGAACTCAGGCCCTTGTCTGGCAAATGTGTATTCTACTGAGCCATCTCCCCATTTTGTTGTTGTTGTTTTGTTTTCATTAGCTCATTAAAGCATGAGGGTAGGAAAGCAATGGCTACTTGATATTTTTGGCCTTAACTGCCAATTTAATTAGAATTTTTGTATCTAAAAATAATGCCTTTTACTTGCTTAAAGGCATTTTAGTGTGGTTTCCAATGTCAAAGGATAAATTTGCGGATTGTATAGCTTTTAAAATTTTTAAATTTTTTATTATGTTAGCTGTACGTATTATTTACATTCGTGGTGGGGAGTTGGCTCATGTACATAAAACTTCATTCTTTTTAAGCCCTTTTCCCATCTCTTGGTTCTTTTCCCATTTACAAACGATCTATTTCCTATTATCTTATATTTTGCTCTTTTGTTTTATTTTTGTGGATTTGTTTTTATTGACTGGGATTTAGGGAATGGGATGGGAAATGTCACCTAGAGGCACTTCCCACTCCTACCCCCTAGGGAATGTCCGTTCTAATCTTCCTGGGATGTTCTATAACGCTTTGGTATTTTCTTGGTGTTACCCTTGCTGGCAGCAGCCTCCTCAGGCCCACTGCTAACTGGCTCTTGGAAGAAAATTTTCTCTTTTTCTGAAGGGTACTTCTTTCTGCCACTTCTGGTTCATTAGCTGTTTCCTCCTTGGGTAAAGACATCTCTTTGGGTGGGCTTCAGCTGCCATCAGCTATTTCTTCCAGATCACTACTAATTAACTCTTCCTAGGAAAAAGATTTTTTTCCTTGGGTTTGGAGATACAGATGGACTATGCATTCCATACTTTGCTCTTTATACTTTGAATTTCTCATATGAGAGAAATGATGTGAGATTTAACCTTGTGTCTGCTTTATTTTACTTCATATTGTTTCAATGTGTATCCATTTTTCTACAAGAGTCAAATTTATATTTTATTGTGGAGTAGTACTTCATTGTGTATTAATACTACTTTTTTTTTTTTTTTTTTTTTTTGTATTTTAGGGAAGGGTCTACAGGATGTTCAGGGTCTCACTATTACATCAGACTCATAGTGATCCACCTGTTTACAGCTTCCCAAGAGCTGAGATTACAGGTGAACCACTACGCCCAGCCCAGTCTCAATTGCATCTCAGTGGGCCCTGGGGGTTGGGACAGCAAAACAGACCTGGGGATTGAAATCCTAGCCCCTGTGCCTGCTTGCAGGTACCTTTAATCCACTGAGCTATTTGGCCGACCCTAATACCACATTTTCTTTATCCATTCATCTTTATATAGGTTGCTGCCAAGATTTAGCTACAATGAAGTGTGCTGCTGTATACCTATGTATGCAGGACTTTCAGGAAGATACCTAGAAGGGAAATAGCTGATTTCAATGGATTTAGTTTTTGAGAATGTCTCTTAGTAGCTGGCAAAAGTGTTTTCCCATTCTGTGGATTTCTTCTCTTCATTCTGTTGGTTGTTTCCTTTGGTATTTTATAGTTATTGAATAAGTTTAGAAGCATCTGAAGTCAGCATGAATTTTTTTTTTTTTTTTTCTGTATTTAGGACAGGGTGTCCAGGCTGTGTAGGGTCTCACTACTTAGTGACTTGTAGTGATTCTCCTGTTTTGAGCTTCCTAAGTGCTGGGATTACAGGTTCGCGCGCCACCATGCCCAGTCTCAATCATGTCTCACGGTGCCCCACAGGTGGCACGCTGGGGATCAAATCCCAGACGCTGCACTCTGCCTAAGTAGGTGCTTTAGTCTGCTGAGCTATCAGGCCACCCCTAGCATGATTAATAACAATATAAATTTAGACTTTTTGAATTCTTCTTTTTTTTTTTTTTTGTTTTCTTTCTTTTTTGAAACATATCTTTTGTCATGTCTGAGAAAATACCCAACACTCAAAATTTTAAAAATACAAAAGGTTTATTTTGGCTTACAGTTTGTAGAGGTTTCAATTCATAGTCACCTGGCTCCAAGACGGGGTGACATGACAGAGTCACCATAGAAGAGAAAGAGTATGGCAGAGCAGAGTGCGCAGAAGATAGCCAACACTAAAGTAGCAAGCAATAAACAAAAAAGTAAGCTCCCACTATAGCCTTCTTTCTGTCTTTTATATTCTATAGAGGCTACCACACTTAGGGTGGGTACTACTCACACCCAGAGTGGACGTTCCCATTGTCCACCCCCTGAACTATGCCAGAACAATCAGTGAACTAATTTAGTAATCAGACACCCTTAATCCCAACATCACAAACTTAATCCTAGCACCACATAGTCTATATCCAGACACCTCTGAAAAGCCTAAACTTTGATCTCTTCAGGATTTGGGTGAACATTTGGATATAAGCCCTGCTTTACCACAGATTGTTTTTCTCAGTATCACACAGAGGTTTTTCATTTTTTAATTTTTTTTCATAAATTACTCTTTTTTTTTTTTTTTTTCAGAACTGGGGATTGAACTCAGGCCCTTGCGCTTGCCAGGGAAGCACTTATTCTACTGAGCCATCTCCGCAGCCCGAGGTTTTTTAAAAATAGAACATATTGGGACTGGTGAGATGGCTCAGTGGTCTAAAGCACCTACTTAGAACAAGCTTAGCAAAGCACAGGGACCGCGGTTCAATCCCC